TTTGGTAGAAAATCACAAAAAGTTCTGTAAGACTGAGTTATTTTTTAAAATTCCTTTATTGCATAAGGCATTATAGTTGCCGTTAGATAGCTCTCTTTTTTTATTGGGCATTTGAAGAATTTTTCCCGGATTTTGTCAGGCCGAACTAGCAAAATTTGTCCAAAATGACCTCTTTTTACAATACGCCTCCATCTCTGTCTATTTATTTGTCCAAAGTATAGAGCCATTCTTATTTGAATAACTATACTTATAGATTGTATCTACCAAAAATTTGTTATTCATTCTGCTTACCTTATATTCGCCTATATCAGACCTTGATTTATACCAATGTAGATACATTCTTCCCTCGAATTAACATAGTAAATTACACTTTATCAGCTATCCTTTCGCTTATCTTGTCATTTTTTTTGTCCTCCGCTGATTCTCTCTCACCATTTCTTAAGGTCGGCCTCACTACATCGCCAGTATTTCAGCGACGCTTTATCATGTCTACCAGATTGAAGGTCTTCGTGGTTTCTACAAGGGAGTCACGCTAAACTGGATTAAAGGACCGATCGCTTCGGGTATCAGCTTTACAGTTTTCCACCATCTACGCCATTTTCTGCACAGCTTCTTCACTTCGATGCCTTCTCCCTCTCTGCCCTCAAATTGAGCCCTGTTTACGCTGTGTGCTGTATACTTTTCCATCCTTTTGCTTTGGCCAGTTTCTTGTATTTTCTTTGTTTGCTTCTTTTTCGAAAATTTATTCGCCCGTTGCCTAATTTTATTGGTCTTATTCATCATTATTTTTACATTTAGGCTTGTATGCATTTCTCCATTGCCTGTTGTACTATCACAATTTCTTGCTTTCAAATGATGTTTCATATTTTGGAGCTGACCTCTATTGACTTTGAAAGAGGTCGACTGACTGCTTACTAGTCGTTTCTATTTTGTTCGTATGCACAAAGTAACTCCGGAAGGGTCACTCTTGCCTGCTTTCATAGGCCTATTTATTCCTCGATCACCTTAACTGTAGCTGATGTCTAGAGCACATTAGAAAATAAGTCTTTATTAAACAGTTTCTTCTGCTTATTCACTTTTAGCAACTTTGAATCTTCTCTTCATTTTATAACTTCCCAATTTACCTACACACTTTAGGTTCCGACGTGGCCGTACTCTCTTTTTTCATGCGTCAACAGCAAGGTGTATTTATTCACCACTAGTCGATCTCATTTGG